CCCCAAAACCCCAAAACCCCAAAACCCCAAAACCCCGATTTGGGTCATGAGAGTTGGAAATAAAATTAAAATTCAATGCTTCTTTGGTTGTCATTGTATATACTTGGCAGCAAGCTCTCTGTAGACTGGTTCCTGATAGGATTCTTATTGAATATCTGGCTAAGCTAGAACATTTAACTCCCTTGCTTACTTGGTCAGAATAGTTGAGGATTTTAGAGTAATCTCTTAAAACTCTCTTCTTAATTTTCATTCTCAACGGTGTCTCTTGTTTTGCAATATCATTATACCCATTGTTTGGGCTCTTGTGGGTTCTCTTTTGATTGGGAGATTTAGATTTCTTTCCTGGTTTATAACTTCTATAGAATCTTTTCTCTCTCTTTTTGTTGATTTCTTTGTAATAGGTTAGGATGCCAGTCAACTTCTGGTTCTTAATAAAGTTTGGGTTCTCTACAGAGTGGTTTATCCTGAGCTTATTCTCGAACCTTCTCCTGTGAGGCTTCACTGTTAAGGATGTGGTTGGAGGGTGATTGAAATTAATCTTACTGTTTTCCCTCCTCATTCCACTATCTATCTTATGTGCATGTCCTTGGGATTTGGGGTGATCTGTCTTGAATTTGGTAGATTCTGAGGTATTCATCAAATTGATATTTACTATTCCTCCTTTAGTATTCTTGACATGGACGTTGTAATTGGTCTCATTGACCATAGGGTAATTTTGTGTATAAGAGCCATCAGGTTTGTCGTTTTCAGCATAGGAGTTTTCCATAAGTTTTGAGTCAAAGAACCCAACATTGTTCACTCTCATGATATTTTCCAGGTTCTGATAGTACTGCTCAATATGTTTCTCTGTTGCCTTCTTCCCAAGAGAAGGGGCTTGAGTTCTTCTTGCTAGCACTATGATGAGTTTAAAGGCGTACTTTGACTAGGCTTTTCTCTTATATTTTTAGTCGGAACTGCTAAGGAATGAGGCTGATAGCTTACATCTCTCTTTGTTTCGGGCTTTGGCCTTTGGCTTCCCTTTAGCTTTTTGAATTATTCTCTTTGGAGGAAATGAAGTTGAGAATTTATGCTTTTCTTAAGAGGAATTATGGTTATGATAATTTCATAAAATATAAATATCAAACCTTTTTAAAAGATATTAGAACTTACCTAATAATTCTTTGCTATTTTGTTCCTTTTTCTGATTCATAAATTGGGTGAACAGCATCTTTGCCATGTTTGATTCAAGTATTTTTGATTCCTACGATGATCATCAATTCCTCACCTCCATTACAACTAAATATTCAATAACCCAACTTCCCTAAGGGGTTTTGGGGTTTTGGGGTTTTGGGGTTTTGGGGTTTTGGGG